CACCTGTTGCTTTGGCATGTTCCTAGCAGCGTTTTCCTTCATTTCTGCCTTTACGTGTGGACGGGATTATTTTTTAAAACGAAAACGGAAAATCTCAGTTTTCAAACAGCCTGCTGCCACAGGCAAACAGGTGCAAGTTTTCATCACAAAGAGCACACATTCCTGCTAAACTGCACAACCTGTACACGATCTATTTGCTCAGGTGAACGCATGGATTTGTGAAGCTGATGCACCAGCCAACAGCTACATTATCAGAAATAACATAAATTAACCCTAAAGTAAATTTACAGTTATTTCAAAAATCCGTGCTCGTGCCTTGTATGCGGTATAATGCTCAGAGGAAAAGCACGGACTTTATTATAGACACAATGTTTTTGCATCCACAAATCCTAATCAAGACGATTATTGTCAGGCTTTAGCTTGACATAAACCACTACCAGGGAATATCCCAAGGAATACAGTGCAGAAGGATAACTGTGTCCTTTTTGCTCTAATGAAGACACAACGATTGCCAGTTTATGTCAGATCAGGTCTTGATTTGCAGTTCTACTAAAACTCAACCATAAATTAGATTTTTTTTTAAAAAAGTGAAAAACAGATGTGTCTCTTCTTTCTAGAGAAACAAACAAGGAAACAGGAAAATTATATAAACTCCTTTCTTTGAAAACTGAAACTGAAATTAAGCCAGCATCACTGTAATAACACTGGCACAGGTAAAATTGGTACGTGCACACAGCGCACAGAGCAGGAACAGGGATTGGTTAACTGTGATTGATGTCGCCCAGGGGGAAAAAATGTTTCCCTCCTAAACAGCATGACCTGTGATTATCGGCTCGCTTTGTTCTGATGCTTAAATGACGTCACGGTGTCACATTTTGCAATTAAAACAGGGATCACTGTTACAGACAGGAAGCGTGTGCCAAACTATCAAAATAAGATGCAATCTCTGATAATCGAGTCTTTTTCTTTAAGGTCCGGGGCTTTCAGAGTAAAAGTTGCAAACCTCAAAACCTGTTGAACGCTGTACTGAGTTAAAATAGCGCCATCAAGCTGCTAAACCGCCAATCGTGACGCACAGACAGAAGAGCTGAGCAGCGCTGGTTTAGGTGGATCTCTGAGGGAGCACCAGTAGGTTCACTTTCCACTTTACAGCCTAGACCAGCAGGAGGGCACCAGATCAAAAGAAGGATCTGACCTAACGTAATCTGCATAAGTGGAAGGATATGCAATTAAATAGAGTAAAAAAAAGTGCCTAGTCATGTTATCTGCCTGCTTCTCAAATTCTTTGTAATCACTTTGTAATACTCAGGCGGGAAGCTGACATCTGAGAGATCCAGCTGATTGCTCTGGTATGCATATTGCTTCCTTGTCTGCTGCCGATTCTCGAGTATTGGGAAAACGTGAATTTTGATACATTTTTTAAGGCGGTATTTGAGAAGTTTGTGTCAATATTGCACAAACTGATACTGTGTTCATTACGCGTGACATGATTTAAAGCTTTCTTTTTAAGCCAGGTAAGTAACTGAAGTAACCTTTGCTGTCTGTGTGATTTGACCGCGGTGTGTGTGTGTGTGTGTGTTTTCGACATAATCGACATAATCAAACACATTTGATCATCGCAGAACCGACTCCCAGCCCCACCTGCACACGCCCATTTTCCTCACCTCCATCCATCTAAGCCACACGTCTAGCGTTCTACCTCTTTAACCCCATTCCCCTCCAATCAATCAACCAATCGCTTTCACCGAACCCCCCGTCTCCCCCTCCTCACCGTGCACTCCATCTCCTCTGGCTCTGGTTTGATCTGTACAGAGGGCATGTCTTTCTCGCCCTCCTCCTCTGCTTTCTTTTCTTCCTCTTTCACCCTCACAGACTGTGTCGCCACTTCCTTCAGCTCCTCCTCTTCTCCCTGCGTTGGCCGTGGCCTGGTCGCGGGCTCTTCTTTCTTCTCCTCCTCTTCCTCGACTGTGGGCGGCAGAGGTGATGAGGAAGGTGGCGGTTCTTGCTGGGTCAAGGAGCTCTGCTTGGCCGGGCTCCTCAGCCTCTTCCGGGCACTGACCGCACTCTTCTTCTGCTTTGGAGTTGACTGGCACTGAGTAAGAAGAAGAAGCACAATAGATGGCATTAAAAGGAGGAAGGTGAGTTTGGTCACAAAAAGAGGAGTACAAAAGGTTGGCAAAGACAGGAAGGGGGGGAGAAGAGGTGATAAGGGAGTAGTTAAGGGGATGAAATGGGGGTGGGGAGAAATTGAGAAGAACAAGAGAGGAGGAGGAGGGGTGAGAAGAAGGTAAGAAGTCCAAACTTCCTGGCCAGGGAGAGGGGGTGAAGGGAGAGGGGGTTGTGTTAAAGGGTATGAGGAAGGTATGAGGAGTAAAGTGGGCAGGAGGAGAAAAAGCAGTAAGCAAGAAAGCAGAAAACAAGAGAGCATAAGAGAAAGAATGAAGAGGAGAAAAGTGCCAGGTAGGACAGGAAGTAAGACAGGAAATGGGTTAGTAGAGTTTGGAGGGAAAAGGTCATGACTACAAGCATTACCTCTACTCTGAAAGCCTGCTAAAGATAACCTCCTCTCAAAAAAATCTGCCAGAAGAGGGGGTCAAAACACACAAACACACACTCACACAAACACAAACTCACACTCTGTCTGAAAGAGATGGAAAATTAAAAGCAAAGACAGAGACAGAGGAGGCAGAGAGACAAAGGCCTAATCCTCAGGCTGCCAGTGAGGGAATGAGAACGAAAGAGAAATAACAGCGAGAGCAGGGAGGAGTAGCCGTGAACTGACCCCTCCCTCCCTTTCAGCGGCAGGCAGGCAGACACACCCTTTTCTGGAAGCTGAGCGAGAGACAAACACACACACTGAGAGAAAGAGAGAGAGAGCGAGCTGAAGGGTGCCAAGGCAGAGACTCACACACACACACACACACATTTTTAGAAATGTACACACCCCTTTCTCTTCTTTTTGGTCTCAATTTTCTCCCCTTTTTCCCCTTTCTTAGACAGTTTCTGAGCTCTATCTAAGAATTATGCAAGTCCCTACAGATAAAACTCTCCACGAACTTGCAAATAGTTTGGCAAGCAGTACCAAAAATGTCCACAGATGTGGAATCCAGCATAATTTGACCTACATTTTAAGAGGTTTAGAGACAGTCATATTTTGAAATGTGTCTTACTTTTGATATGATGGCTGTACATAAATTCTAAGGACAGTGAAACAAAAACAGTAAAACAAGAACTTTTTCCCCCTCCTGTCCGTCACGAGCCAGATAAGAATAAATCAAAGCGAGCTGAGGTCAGTTATACCTACAATATGTTTACAGTCATTTTAAACAGGTTTCAATAGGTTTGGGCAGCCAGTGAAACTAAAATAATATAACAACAAGAACCAAATTGTGTTGAGTCTAGTAGTCAACACAGTGTAACATAATATGAAGGAAAAAAATACAATTACATATAAAACAGCATTTACCACATTAGAAAAGGGTTTAAGACATAATTTATGACAACATTTTTAAACAGTTAATTAATTAGTTCATCTAAGGCACCATAAATGTTATATTCCTTGTTTAACTCTATATATATTCTTCAAAAGGAGAAAGTTTAGGATGCAGGAAATTTAAACTAATGCACATTTATCTGCAACTTTATTAGGTGTGCCTATAATTCTCAAAAATACATCCTGCAAGAAGAAAATCTCAGGGTTAAAAATGCCTTGTTGGTGTCAGAAGTCAGAGGAGAATGGCCCGACTCCTTCAAGCCCCTAAGAAGGCAACAATAACTTAAGTAACAACCATTACAACCAAGGTATGCAGAAGAGCATCTCTGAAGCAGCAGAAGACCACACCAGATGCCGCTCCTGTCAACTAAGACCAGGAAACTGAGGCTCACCAAAACTGGACATCGTAAAAATGATGATGAGTTTACATTTCTGCTGCAAAGTGAAAGTATAAATCCAACCTGCACTGTATCAGTGGTTCAGGATGGTGTGGTGTAATGGTGTGCGGCACACTTTGACCCATTAGCACCAACTGGGCATCACTTAAAAGGCACAGCCTATAACCCAGTGTACCCATCTTCTGATGGCTGCTTCCAGTGGGATAACATACGATGTGACAAAGTTCAGATCGCTCAAACTGGTTTGTTGACCACCGAGTTCAATGCACTCAAATGACCTCTACAGTAACACATCTCAAGCCAACAGAGCACCTTTGGGATGTGGTGGAGCCTGAGATTCACATCCTGGATGTGCAGCTCATGATTGTGCAGCAACAAGGATCGAAATCTCTAAGGAAAATCTCCAACCCAGTTCTAATAAGGTGTGCCTAACAAAGTGACTGGCATATTTCCGTGTCTGTCTTTATCCTTCTATCAATACACAGCCACCAGGTCATGACCAAATATTTATATAAACGAAAGTTGTAAAAGAAGTACATCAAGCAATCTACCGCACTTCCTTTACTTCCTCTTCGAGTTCAGCTCATGCCGACGGGTATGTGGTTAAAGGTGACGTTTGAGAAGTTTGTTTTACAGTTTTGTGGTTTTAAACAGAAATGTGACTTTGTGAGATCAGCACATCAACTTCTGGTTAACCTTAATGTAAACCCAGCCTGTGACTGAACACAACCGATCGAAATCAGGGTGAAATTCAAACCCCTCTCTTTCAAATTGTTTGTTCACATTTGAGCAAGAGTCAGCGCAGACAGCTGATATTGAGAAAAGTCCCATAACTAACACAAACATCATCAACAGAAACCACCAGCGTTCATTCAAAAGATGTATTAAAAACAGCAGCTAAAAAGGCTTGACGTGCGTGTGCTTTCCTACTGTGAAAATCCACCGTCGAAACACTGAAAACCCCACGCGTTAAAAAGAACAGAAACGGGAAGTGATAGCAAGATTATTCCAGTTGCGCTTCTTTATGTCTAATTCTCACGGTGCGAGAAATGCTGAAATAGATAAACAAGTTCTCGACTTCCTGTCTGCAGCGGCGACCCTGCCGCACGCCCAGCTGTTTAATGGGAAACGCAGTGCTGTGTGCTGCACAGTGCAGGGTTAGCTGTCTATGTAAAGCCCAGTGAAGCCAATCTAAATAAGAAAAGATAACAGCTGGTAGCAGCAGGAGAGATATGAAATAATATCAGAAGAAGCAGTGCAAAAATGTCAAAATAAAAGGTTTGATATATTATTTAAGCAAAATAATTAAGTATTAACAGCATTGTTGTGGTTGTTTTCACAGCGAGGAGAAGTTTCTCTCAGTCTGGTAAATAATTAACAAGTTAAACTGCCAGCAGGACTTAATGACAACGCTGGAGAGCACACTCACCCGCACGTAACCTAAAACAATCCATCATACGTTATGTCAGCGTAGCAGAGAAAAGATTTTACATTTTCGAATGCAGTGAGCGTCGGTATTTTAAGCATTACGCCACCGGCATGTTTTGCACTTTAAGGCAGTTGCAGGTAAAGTATTGAAGGTTAGTTAGTTGCAGAAGGATTAGCAGTATTAGGTCACGGTCTAATATGTGACTCGGAGACAGTTTTGAACCACACCTTCTGTTTTCTTCAGAATTCAAATATTTTTCTGGCACGTAACTTGAAGTGTGCTGAGAATCGGACACATTTGCGCTCTGCCGCACAGAGCAGTAAAAATGACATCATCACTTGATCAGCCTATGAGGGCGAACAGAGACTCTAAGGCCACGGTGGTGTGTTTCAGGCTGGCATGTGACCCAGCCCCAGCGGATTCCACAGCGAGGTGGGGCCTCGGCCAATCAGCCTGGGTGTGGCTGCAACCCCTCCCACACAGACGCGCACACAGAGGACACACACTGATCTCTCAGTTCCATTGTGAGGGGACAGAGCCCCCTCTGTGTCTCTAAACAAAGGTAAAGGCAGCTTGATGCCTCACCTTCCCCCCAACTGGCAACCCCCCACAAAGCAAGAGCCTGAATTTCACCAACTTCCACCCACTCATACAGTTTGAAACAACTTTAACTTTATTGGGCCTGGAGTTGCTTAAGGCACCTCTCTGTGGTGTTTTTGACCACAAGCTTCCTTTCTAAGCTTCAAAGACCATTTTTGACCTTAAACATCACACAGGAAAATCCATCAGAGACAACGAAACAGGTTTGTTCACCAACAAGACCAGAAAACAGTCAAGGATGCTTCACGGTTACATCACAGTTTACACTTTGACTTATTTCAACAGTTGTTGTTGTTTTCCTGATTTTTTTAACCTTATGTAAATGACAAAACTCTAAGAATTTCTTCAAATTTACACACAGTACTCCTAAAGTACTCGTAAGTTACTAAATTAGCACATTTACATTTTAACTGCAGTTTAGACTTCATGAATTAACAGTATGCGCTGTGAAAACTGGAGCAATGTAGCCTATTTAAAAGCACAGAGAGCGCTAACAGCGCTGTTCCAGCACACAAAGCCTTCCTTTACACCTTGTGCTTTAACCCTTTATTTTGTTTTCAGTTCACTAGTTAGCAGTTTGGTCCTGTGTTTTGTTCTGAAGAGGCCTCATTATCATTTATTCTCTTCTGTAAATGGCCACTTTTCCAAAAGCCATTCAAGGCAAACTTGTCCTTTCAAAAGCTCTGCTCAATTAAATCAGAACATTTGTGAATTTGCTCAACAGAAAAGACCGCAAACAAATTTATTTATTTATTTTTAAGAAGCTCAAGGTTGATTTAATTTGCCAAATTACATTTGTGGACAACATTTAACATATTTTGGGGAAAACTTTGGCAACTAAAAATGTATAAAAACTTCATTTCCAGCTAGATTTGGTGGAGTTTGTTGTTTTGGTCTACTGGAAAGAGCTGAAGGATGCAGACTCCACATCTTAAAGGGAAAACTCTACAAGCAGCTTTAAGTCACACACACCTCAATTCCCACTCCTTATTGCATGCCAACGCTTGAATACAAACACCTGCAGCTGCTACTTGGCTTGCAAGTTTTCTATCACAGCACAGAGGGTAGATTCAGATTTTTTGAACCCTGGGACGTCCGATTAAAGTCAACTTTGACCAGCCAGTCAAACTCTAGATTGTTTATTCACAACAATCTAGAGTTGCCGGCTTATT